AACAATGTCTACTTTCTCATCTACATCATAATTTTTCAAAAATTTGAAGACATCTTTGAAATACCTCATTTCCTTCAGCTCTTCCTAGTCTGATATGATTTTAATTATCTTTAGTATTCTTATTTCTCTCCCCTGAAAATATTGATTAGCCCAGTGCAGAAATCTCTGTAAACTTTACTTAAAATAATTATGGTAAGTAATTATGTTAAGTAAAGTAATATACTTCACATAAAACTAGTAAAAGTAAAAATATCAATTTTTAAATTAAAACATTACATATATATGTATATATATATATTCATTTGTATCAGGATTATGATATTAATTTTTTTTTCAAATGTGCTCTGCCAAGTTATGGTTTCCCCCATCCTACACTGGCACAAGTGATTTCTCAACCAAAGTGTAATTTATACTTGAATCTTGTTAGAACTAGTACATTACTTCCATCCTTCAAGATCATATTGAATATTAATTCTGTCTCACATATTCACTGCATGTCCCAATATCACATATCCTCAATTTGGATGAGTATTTCCTCTGTATAATTTTATTTGGTAAAATGTTGAATATAATGAGACCAACTTTCTACCAAGAAACATGATCTGAGATGAAGATGTTCCACAAAGTAACCTAGCTATTAACTCACCAGATTTCCTTATATTAAAACCAAATTTGTAAATATTATCCACAGGGATCATATTAATTATTTTCAAGTAACTTACCAAAATGTAGATATAATGATTTAGTAAGAGAGAGTCAAAGATCTTTAGATTTTTATTCACTCATTTAAATATTTTTATTATTTGCATATTTGGAGCCAGGTGCCATGTTTTTATCTGGCCATTGGGTCCATTAAGACACTGAACTCAAAGAGCTTACAATTTAGTAAGGAAAGCAGACTATTAAAACTGATGATTACCATGTCATATTATAAACACAAGAGTCAATTTGGGAACTATGCAGGCACAGCATATGATTAACTAAATCACACTGTCAGGATTAAGAAAGGGTTTTCAACAACAACAAAAAATATAGTTTGGGGTTAAATTTGAGTCCATTATGGGACACTCATATTAAAACATTGGATGCAGGGATGTAGTACTCTTAAGAGAGGTCTGGGTTGGATAGACACATTTAGGAATCAACAACAAATAAATGGTAGTTATAGCCATGATTTTACACAAAACCACTGAAACAGAGATCAACTAAAAAAAGAAAACACTGGCATTTTAGGTAAAGAGAACACTTTCAGAGATGTGAAAGAGCCATTGTGTATGAGACTTGACTCATGTGTTAACTGAGTAGGGGTAGGGTGTGGGATAAAGATACTGCTGGAGTTATCAGAGGCCAGTTCCTCAAGAGTCATGTGTATGGGGTCAATAAATGCCAACATTATCCCAAATGTTATGGAGTCCCTTAAAGCAGAGGTCTCTAGTTCCAGGGCCGCAGACCATAGGGGTCTGTGGCCCGTTAGCAACTGGGCTGCATAACAGGAGGCGAGCAGTGGACAAGCAGAGTTCCATCTACTGTCAGATCAGTGGTGGCATTAGATTCTGTGCATTAGAACTGCACATGCAAGGGATCTAGGTTCCACACTCCTTATGAGACTCTAATGCGTGATGATTGCCCCAACCTGTCTGTGGAAAAACTGTCTTCCACTAAAATGGTCTCAGATGACAAAAAGGTTGGGGACTGCTGTCTTAAAGGGCTCTCAATATTGAAAGGACTTGGCTTAAGATTTGGAAAATACACTTTAGGGTCAATGTGAACTATAAAGTGATGGAGGAAGACAAAATGCAGAGAGACAAAAAAAGGAGTCCACCAAAGAGGGTGAGAAGGAGTAATTAAAGCAACGTCCACCTAGGAAAGCCAATGGACATATTTTAGAGACATAAAGACTGTGAATGGACAAGTTTTGATGACTACTAAATTTGAGAAGCTGAGGTAGAAAGAGAAGGTCTGGGGTGATCTCCAGGATTTCAGTTTGGATGGAAAAGGAGGCAGTGGTGTCATTTGGTGAGAGAAGAAACACTGTATTTTCAGAGGGGTGAAGAGGAATTCTGAGTTCAGGTTTTATCATTTCTAATTGAATTTGAGATCACAATGGGATAGCTAGGTTGAAATACTGGATGTAGGGGTGTGGCACTTTTTAGAGAGGTCTAAGAAGACATAGGGATTTAGGAGCTAACAGTAAATAGATGGTAATTACAGTCACAAATATGGATAAAATCACTCAGGCAAAATGGAAAAATCAGAGGAAAGACCAACATATTAAAGCCAACGTCAGATTCAAGCTATAAAATAAAAAGGTAAATGTCCAAGGATTCATCTAAAATGTTTTTTATTAATTTAAAGTTTATTTCTTATTTTTAAAACATATTAAATTTATAAAATTTGGAAGCAAATTTGTCAGGTCCTTTGTCAACCTGGTACTGCTGCTTCACCTATAATGTCAAAAAAAATAACAAGTAATAGCATCAATGTATGATTTGATAGCATCTCAAAAAAAGCAAAGATTCAAGAAAAGTTTATGATCTAACTCAAGCTCAACATCAAAAACCCTAAAGTATCAAGGAACTCAAGTTATTTATTTCCTCTACATTTTAAAACATGTTTCCTCTGCTTCCAGTGTTTGGGGTAAAATGTTGTCATAACAATAAGACAAGAAGATTTCACTCCTGATTGCTGCAGCTTAACTGGTTATGTCTATACATCCCCATTACTTCATCAACACTACTAAATATAACAAAAGCATAAGTCAATCAAAATATCACTGGGCAATAATTTCACCACAATGCCGAGTATTACAGTAGCCTGTACTAAACTTCTGGGTTTTGGTAATCTCAAATATTCCTCTTAGTCAAAATGTTTTATACAGAATCAATTTACATAAGATGAGCAAACTGTATCGTTCCCTAAAATACAAATAATTTGCATATTCTTTCATAGCCTGTTATTATCACTGAGATTCTTAATCTGGATAGTTGACAAAATTAGATAGAATGAATCCAATGATAGCCAGCAACAACCCTAGTCTTCTGATGTTCGTAATTCAGTGAAAAACAAATTAAAATTCTTAATAAAATGCTCAAACAAAAAAATTACCAAATTTTCAAATTCTTCAAGGAACATCTACTTTTAATAAGCCAGATTTTTGGCAGCATCATCTTACAACTGTTGATAAAGATTTATCTAGTTTAATAATTATAAAAACTGAAAGAACTTTAAAAATATTATACTATATTAAAAATGTCAAAGATAAAATTTCAATTAATTGCTCGACATTTCTAAAATATTGTGATATGGGCTTAACAGATATATGTTGGGCTTTCCACTTGAAGATTTCTTTTATTGTTTCACTTTTTATCTTCTAAATTTAACTTTTTAAATCTGTGTTAAATAACCAAAGCCACCATATGTAAATGTAGTCAGTTTATACATGAGCCAATTTAATAGTGTAGTTCTGAAAAGAGACAGAATGTTCTTTCGTAAGATATATATATGGTAGTTATAATACTTGCTGTTACATCTTCAGAACAATTTGATTATGACATCTGATGCAGAGGAGGGGTTTGTAGGTGGAGAACAAGAGCCCTGTTAGCTTCCTCATATAGAGTAAGTGACTGATCCAAGATAGCTTGACTCCACACAGTCATCATGACTATGACATTATAAGTCTCTGTCAATATGTCAACATTCATCAAATAAAAGGTTCATATAAAGAATATCTAAAACATGACAATGGGTCCTTTTACTTGCAAAGAGTATGGCCTGACAGTCTCTGGTTCCCTAAAATATGAATCTCCAGGTTGTGGCACAAAAACCACAACAGTGAAGAGTTGTGATAGTTGCAGGTGGTGGTTATTCCTGAGCATCCTCCCATTGTCCCAGTTGATACCCAACTGGGCAGATGGCCAAGGAGGGACACTCCAACATAATTAAGGACAAGACATTTGGGCTCGATGACATCAGAATGTGCAGCACTAGAATAAGCAGGACTGTAGGTGAAAATCAGGATCTGTCCCTTCAAATGGAGTTGTAATTAATGCTAGACTTTATGTGGATCATGATTCTGTCTTTAGAGTTTGAGTTTCACATATTCATACAAACACCCATTGCAAAATACTAATTTTTACTAAATATATTTCCCAAAATGTACCTTAGTATTTCTTACAAAATATCTATAAAACTATAATAATCTACATTTAAGTAATGAAGATGCTATAATAAAATGTTGTCTATGATCAGTATAACATTTAAGAGACCTTAATTGAAAACTGAACTGTAATAGAAATTTTTTATTCCAAATCACTACATATGTTGCATTTTACAAGTGCTTAAAAGCACATTGTGTCATGTGAAAGTTGTTTACTTATTTATTGTTCCATTGTTCTATTGGATATTATTTACTTTTACTCACCAGCAATATTAACCCTTCTTATAAAAGAACAAAATGTCCAAGTTCCAAACCTTTATCTTTTGGGGGGGGGTTGTATTTGGATTTAGATTTTGTTTTTCCAAGTAACTTCAGATTTAATGGCATGCTTTTTAAGAAATACCCTAATTTTCTAATATAATTTGTTTACAAACAAATACTGATCTAGAAAACAGATCTATTGTGTGACTTTCATTTTGCCATGCAACAATATAAACTAAATAGACCTTAATATCACAGCTTAGCTATCTGATTTTTTAATAAAATTTTATGAAATATTTTAGGGGTATTTTTTTAAAATCAGCTTTTTGAACTAGCTCAAAACATAGAATCTAGTAACCAATTAAAGTTGCACATCTAGTGTAAGAAATAAATAGTAACTTTAATAAACCCACAGCATGAAAAAAGTCTGTATGAAACTTTACCTTGTCAGTTTTTAGGTAAGAAACAAATGGGTATATATTCTGATATGAAAAGTTTGCTAAGTATTTTAATAAACCACCTTACTCTTAAAAAAATGCAATAACATTTCTCCATATAAGAATATAAGACATGAAAAACATACGATGGGCATAGATACTGCTTCTTTTTCCCCTTCCCTTTCTTTGAAGACTTTTCTTTAGAGTAGGCTTCTTCAACCCACAAAGAAATTAAAATAAAAAAGGTAATCGCCAATAAAAACTTCATCTTGAAAAGTTAAATTTCAGGAGATCAATCTACAAAAAAGAACAAGAAAATGTTTACATTTATGAAGCAAATGAAAACTATGTGACTGCCCCTTTAAGGAGTAAGATCATTACCACCGAAAGGACAAGTACATTTATACATCAAATCCTCATTGCTCAATCCTGCATGGTTATACTTTACTATATATTTAAAGTCTCTTTTATATAGTAGCAGTAAAGTCTTTTTTTATATCGCAGTAAAAGTCAGTTTAAATACTTGCACATAAAAAACAAGACCCCATTGAGATACTAGGTTACTATGTACAATTTCTGATTCTATAGTTTTACAAAATTGTAAATTGATACTGAATTGCACAGCATACCAAAATATGTTTAGAAAGATGCTTGGGAGGATGTTTAACACAGCAGTAAAATGATTACTTTGGACTAGTACATTTTAAGTAATTTTTTCTTTTTAAATTTCTATAGTAACTGAATTTTGTATGTATACTTTTCCAAAAATAATAAAAGTATTTTACAGGAAAGAGAATTGAAGAATTAAAGAACTGACAGAGATAAAAGAAAAAATATTATCATCAAAGCATTCCATACTCTAAATTAATTGTTTTTATTTATACGCATTAAATTCGCAAACTACTTTTTACCCCTTTTGAGTGCATATCAGTTTAGTTTTTTAGCTTCCCCACTTATATGATAACAACATTTATCATCAAAAAGATTACTCCAGAAACTCCAGGTAACCTTCTATGAAATTCAGTAGAAAATGTGGTTATACTCTTTCAAATAATCTTCCTAGCCATGTTTTAATAACACTCTTAATGCTCAAATAAGAATTATATTCTTGTCAGAGCCTGATGATTTTCAAAAAGCAAGCCTTTACTGACACTACCATATTTAAGCCTCTTCTGCATCCCTCATTTCCAAGCCATAAATTGTTTCTCTTTCCTCGTTTTCTGCAAAGACCTGTCATATTCTTCAACACTAACTTCATTCCCATGTTACCCTTATAAATTTGCTTCTGCTATGCCGTATTTTTCATTTCCCTTTCCCCCAGGATTTTCCCCCGTGTTTATCTTTGACACACTCAAGGCAAGCCAGAGGGGCTTCGCCCTGGGTACTTCAAACTGAAGACCACAGAGGGGGCTTATCACCCGACAGCAGCAACAGAAGGCTCTCCAGTGCCAACTTATGGCATCGGACGCCCCATCCCCCATAGTGGCACCTACTTTCAGATACCTTTGCCCCCAGCAGCAGGTACTTCTGCCACCTTCATGTTTCCCCCAAACAGGAGGCCCGTCCTAAGGGTTCCAGGGGGGGCGAAAGAGGAATTCAACACTCTGTTCTGTCGTCATCCCCCCAGCCCCCTCCCGGTCTTGCAAAGGGGACAGCTGCAGTGACTGGAGGAGCTCCATAAACAAAACAACGCCAGAAGCACCCCCCGGCCAACCTGGCGTCCCCTAATCGTTCCTGCACCTGCGTCCCCACCACCCCGAGCGGCCCCGCGGCCGCCCCCTCCTCGGTCGGCACCCGGCCTCAGCGCCCGGCCCCGCGCCCCGCTCCTCCCCTGCACGCCGCAGTGCTCCCCGCGCTCCTCCCCCGGGCTCGACCCGCTCTTTCCGCAGCGGCACCTCTTCCCGCGCCAGACCCCGGCCGCCGCCCGTCCCCGTCCACCCCTCCTCGGCTGGGCCCCCAGCGCTTACCCGGAGGCGCCCCTGCCCGCAGCCGCCGGGCGAGAT